AAGAGCTAACAGATCTGTCCTGGAAGAAGTGCAGCCGGAATGCTCCTTGGAAGCGAGACCAGCCAGACTTGGTCTCACCTACTTTGGTCATGTTGTCAGAAGGGACCATTCCCTGGAGAAGGATGTCATGCTTGGCAAAGTGGAGGGTCGGTGAAGAAGGGGAAGACCTTCAACAAGATGGATCGACACAGTGACTTTAACAATGGGCTCAAGTATAGCAATGATTGTAAGGATGGTGCATGACAGCAGTGTTTCGTTCTGTTGTACACAGGGTCACTATGAGTCAGAGCCAACTCGACGGCACCTAAGAAATATCTATTTGTTATGATGTCAATGGGAATTTTGATGTGAATGAAGATTGTTTGGGAATGTTACCCGTTTCAAGCAAATCAGGAAATGACTGACTTATGTATATTGAACAAAGTCCTCAAAGGTGTACTGTAAGATCACAATTACTACATAGAGTCGTTTCAATGCCAAACTGTTTATGAAAGTTGTGTCCAACTCTGCCAAGTTTTGCCGAAACACAGAATTTACCTTTGTTCCTTGACAGGTTCATCACTGCAGTGGCAATGGGTTTGCTTTGGTTTGTTTGCTTTGTGGTCAAAAGGTTAAATAGAACATATTAGGAACATAGTAGTTACTACCATGTGCTGGAGACCCTCACTGGCTTGAACAATAGAGAGCGTGAAATTTGGGTGAAGTGGGTCAACACTCTGATGATCAGTTGCCCCTTCTGAGTCTAGGGGCCTGAGTGAGGGAGGAAGTCCATTGGGTACAAGGGTAACCTGTGTCGAAATGTGTGGGTATGCAGCTCTCTTCCTTAATGATGCTAACTAAAAACAAAGGCCTCCACTCCTATTCCCCCCACATATCTTCCCCACACTCCTATTCAAATGTGATCTGTGCTAAACGCTGCACTCTACATTGGAACTCCAATTGCAAGGCTTGACATTAAGACTTCAGTGCAGAAGAAAAGGTGTCAAGTTTCTGGTTTGCAAATGAAAGCAGTAATACATTATGAAAGAAAAATGTAACCACTAATTATTGCTATTTTAATTCAGACTTTTCCATTTAAAATATCATGAGTATGAATTTTTGCATTATTTCATATGCTCATCCCATAATTAAAGAAACTTTTATTACATATTTGGCAGTTTATTTTCCTTACAAGTAGCCTGACTCCCTCAGTGATGATACCTCTCTGTCTCCTATAGGCTTTTGAGTTTGTGATGTCTGCATTAGATTCTATGTTAGCCAGTCCTCCCCCTGCCCCTACTGCCTACCCTCCAAGGGAAGGAAATTTTAACAGTTTATCAGTGGCATGGAAGACTGTGAGCTATTGACTAAAGAGACCACTTCAGGTTTACTTCTGTGTATCCAGCATACACTATGGTAGTTGTTCCAAAACTCACTGCCGTCAAGTCAGTCCCGACTCATAGCGACCCCTCCTTGGGTTTCTGAGGTGGTATCATTATGGAAGTAGATTGCCCAATCTTCCTTTCGAGGAGTGGCTGGTGGGTTTGAACCGTGAGCCTTCTGATTAGCAGTGAAATGTCTTAGGCACTACACCACTAGAGCTCCCATGGTAGTTGTCAGTGGGTGTTTATTAAAATGGGTGGATCAGTGCACTTCAGTTGAAGATGGAACACATATCCAGAAGTCTTTGGGATGGAAATTGTATTTCCATCTCATCCAAGTTTAGTAGCAAGGGTAATTGTTGGCCTTCCCTCAACTTCTCCTTTTTGCCCCTTTCTCTGCCGTAGACGCCTATACAACAGCTGAAGTGGTTTATTCCTGGACTCTTGGGAAGAACAAATCTGTGGAAGTGGCACAGGACGGCTCTCGCCTGAACCAGTATGACCTGCTGGGCCATGTTGTTGGGACAGAGATAATCCGGTCTAGTACAGGTATTTCTTTCTTTCATTTAACAAACGTTTCGGTAAGCTGTGTCATGCCAGTCACTGTTCGAAGTGCTTTACATGTAACAACTTAATTAATCCTCAGAATAATCTTGTGATTTTCATGAGGTAGTGAAAGCACAGAAAAGTTCAGTAATTTGCTGTAAATCACAGTTATATAATGACAGAGTCAAGACCTGAACCCAGGCATATTGGCTCCCAAGCCCATGCTCTTACCTGATGCCCTGCTGCCTCTTGGGTAGTGGGTCAGAAGATCACGGGCATTAGGGTTGGGTATGGTAGAAGAGAAGGAAGAGGGGAGGCCGTAATGGTGAGAGAGCTGCGCTTTGATCCTGCAGGTTTCATTAAGACGTTTGTGTAACTCAGCGAGCGCTGGGGTGGCAAGGTACTCTAACCTCAGGGGAGGTCGGACACACAGCCAGACCCGGGGATTAGCTGTGCAGTTATTCTTTTAATGGATCACCCACCTCAGAAATCAGCTTGTCTGGCAGATCCTTCAGCACTCTCTTAATGGCTAATCCTTGGGCACTGATAAACGAAGCCTAGAGACTTTTCTGCAGCCTTATATTCTGTCCATTTGGAACTGGCCAGTTGCATGGCCCAAAGAAGGAGGCACCCTTTATTCCAACTAACCTTAGGATATTTGGCAAAATGGAGTCTATCCCGGAGCCCACACCATCGTTCTGTAATTTTTGCTGTGAAAGGCTGGGTTCTCTCAACAGTAATCCTCCAGCAGCACTTGTCTCGGTGAAAACTCTCTGAATGTAGTTAGAAATGCAGAAGAATGCTCTTGCCCTTTTGTTTTATTTTCTGGACACATGCTGTTCCCTCTCCTGGTGGTGTCACACTATGTCACCTTGTCTGCCCTCTTCCTTGGTTCCCTCTCTAGCCCAGGA